AGGTGAACGTGCGGTGTGTTAAATCTCTCAGGAGAAGCCAAACGGAATGGCCGCTGCCTGGCCTCCCTGCTCCTCACTGTCCTCGATGTGAGGGCAGAGGAGGGGGAGCCGTGTCCGAGGCCACCGAGTGCTGCAGGTCACAGTGACTTGCTCTGACTAGGCCAGCTGTTAGCTCTTTGACTAGGAAGATGTAAACTATTAGGGAAACTAAGAAAACAATCTCATTTGCAATTGCAATAATGAAAAAATTCCCTAGGAATAAAGTTAACCAAGGATGTAAAAGACCTGTACTCGGAAAATTCTAAGGCGCTGAAGAAATTCAAGGTTCAAATGAGTGGAAGCATATACTGTTTTCGTGGACGGGAAGGAGTAACACCATTAAAATGACCATACTATCCAAAGCAATGTACAGATTCAAGGCAATTCCTGTCAAGGCACCAATGGCATAGTTCACAGAACTAGAACAAATATTTCAAAAATTTGCATGGGCCACAGAAAACCCAGAATAGCCACAGAAATCTTGAAAAAGAAGAACAGAGTTGGAGGAATCATGTTCCTTGATAATCTAACTATACTACAATGCCGCAGTAATTAAAACAGCATGGCGCTGGCATAAAAACAGTCATGTAGGTCAGTGGAACATAACAGAGAGCCCAGAAATAAACCCACACCTTTATTTCAATTACTAGTTGACAAAGGAGGCAAAAACATATAATGGGGTAAAGACAGTCTATTCAATAAATGGTGCTGAGAAAATGGGACAGATACGTGCAAAAAATGAAACTAGATCACTTCCTTATACCACACACAAGAATAAACTCAAAATGGATTCAAGGCTTAAATGTGAAGACTACAAATTGTACAAGTCCTAGAAGAAAACACAGGCAGTAAAATCTTGGACATTTCTCACAGCAATATTTTTTCCTGGTGTATCTCCTCGGGTGAGGGAAACAAAAGAAAAAAGACACAAATGGAACGACATCAAACTAAAAAGCTTTTGCACAGCGAAGGGCAACATCAACGACGTGAACAGACAGCCCCCCGGGGGGGAGGACACATTCGCCAACGACGCATCTGATCAGGGGTTAACATCCAGAGTTTATAAAGAACTTTAAACAACTTCCAAAAACCCCAGATAAGCCAATTAAAAAATTGACAAAGGACATGAATAGGCACTTCTCCAAAGATGGCCGATAGACATATAAAGAGAGACTCAACGTCACTAATCATCAGAGAAATGAAATTTCAAACCCCGCGAGCCATCACCTCACACCTGCCGGAACGGCCGCCACCGACTGGCGCCCCGGTGCCGGCGAGGCCGTGGAGGGAAGGAAGGGAGCCCGCGTCCGGCGGGCGGGAGTGCGGACGGCGCGGCCGCTGTGCAAGGCAGCGCGGGGGCGCGCAAAAACCCGAAAAATGGAACTGCCTTTTGACCCACAGATCCCACTTCTGGGAATAAAGCCCAAGAAAACCGCAACACTCACTCAGAAGAACGTATACAGCCCTCTGTTCATTGCAGCGGTAGGTACAACAGCCCAGATCTGGGCGCGGCCCCAGTGCCCATCAGTACCGGAGCGGAGAGAAAAGCTGCGGCACGTTCGCACAATGGGACGCTACTCAGCCCCAAAAAGGAGGGACTCTTACCCTTTGCGGCAACATGGATGGGCCCGGAGAACATTCTGCTAAGTGAAATAAGCCAGTCAGAGAAAGGCAAATACGATTTGATTTCACTTATAACTGGAATCTAATGAACAAAATAAACAAGAGAGAAACAGACTCACAGACACAGAGAACAGACTGAGAGACATCGGGGGGAGGGGCGCTGGGGGCAGGTGAACAAAGGTGAAGGGACTAAGCAAATAAAAAACCCCTCAGACACAGACACCAGCGCGGTGATGACCAGAGGGGAAGGGGGCGGGGGGCGGGGGTAGGGGAGGGAAAAGGGGGACAAATGGTGAGGGAAGGGGCCTGACTTGGGGTGGTGAACGCACAGCACAATATGCAGATGATGTGTGACAGAACTGTACCCCTGAAACCTGTATAATTTTATTAACCAGTGTCGCCCCAATAAATTCAAAAATAAAAAAAAAAGACAGGGACAGCTTTGCAGGACTGCACTTATTTTTGTATAGTTTACTTTCTTAGGTATGAGGCTTAAGATCAAGGACAGAAGTTGCTATTTGTCACGGTCTCACGTAAGATTTTTCAAATACAGTGCCGAGGGATCGTTATGCTTCATCACACCGTAGACGGAGCCCCAGTTCACACGGGTTTAAGTCTGACGGAGTCTAACAGGAGTCTCCTGCAGCCAGTGCGCAGAATGAACAAAAACAGGAAAACAGTGAGTTCCCATCCTGGTCTAACAGTTCACGTGACTGGGATGCTTAACTCTGACAGACGTTAAGTCAAATCTCATAAGGCCTGGAGTGACCACAAACAATTCGGAGTGAATGACTGAGCTGCGTTAATATGGGAAGGCGGAAGAAGCCCAGAGCTCTTCCTTTGTTCTCACCACTGAAGGCAGCGTGGAGGGGACAGGCGTTTGAGGAACTTACCCTCCACCCCGAGCCACACGCCCAGGGCAGCCCGCTGGTTCCGCCGGCACCGGCCGCAGTGTGGCCAGCAGGGCTTCCAGCGGGTGATGGTTGCACCTATGCCAACGGCAAACAGCTGTTTCTCATACGAACCTTTCCACATTGAAGCAGGTCACCTGACGGGGTACTCAGGAGATACTTGTTCCCATCCGGGCGCCCACAAGGAAGGGCAGCACCGGAAAAAGCCAATGCTTTTAAAAGGTAATTTTTTAAACTTAAAAACATCAATTTTTGTATAGGTAGCATGTGCCTTTGGTTAAGAAATTCAAGCGCTACAGAGGGCGTGCGGTGACACCTCCATTCCGGTCGGCAGGGGACAGGGAAGCCTTGTGTGCACCTGCATTCCTCTGAGGACTGGAAACAGAGTTCATTCGGTCCCAGCCGCAGGAGCAACTTTGTATCACAGTCTCTGTACATACATTTTAATCTAATGTATATACAGTTAATTAATCTAACATACAGGGTCCAGCACAAATAAGGCCCCTCTTTTATTACATAAAGACAATTTATTACAAAACTATAAGCATGTAACTCTGTAGCATAGCCGTATCACACGCAAGCAGCCATAGGGCATGTTAGGTGACATGTTCCAGTCGCTGTCCATCCCCCGCGAGACATTCACGTGCCCTGCCCACCACCCTCAGCGGCGTTACTTCTCCTGGACCCTGCGGATACATTCAGTCTAACGTCTATACGTTTCACTCTTGTTTCTCGGTGTCAGCGGATTCCCTCCTGAGAACCCCTCTTGTTATCCTGAATCTCTCCTGATGGGTATTTACATCCCCGGACCTTTCCAGTCGCAGGCACAGAACTGTTAGAAGACTTAAACATGGCTTGCTTTTCTGACTAGTAAGCCTAGAACGACAACGGCAATTTGGCGTGAGCACATGGAATAACAGTGCGGGCTGGGAACCAGCGAGAAGGGGAAAGGCAGATGCTACACTGTTTTCACCGGAGCTGTGAGCCCAGAATCCTTTCCTGAAAGCGCAGCCACCGCAGCCTCAGCGCCTCGGCCACAGAGGGCAGCGCGCACTCGGCCCCCTCGCCAGCCGAGGTGGGGGCATCTGTCCTCACCAGCTCAGTTCCCGCAAGTTCCGCAGGCAAAGCCGTGCGGCAAATCTAGGGACTGCTCCCAGGGGCCACTCCCAGGGACTGTCGTGCGGATGTTGATAAACCCACTGCGGGGGGGACAGCAGAGGAAATTCCGAGAAGGAGCCCTATCAGAAATCCTATTCTGCCTGCTTCCCTGCGAAAGGGTGAGGAGAAATCTTCGTTGCCCAACAGTGGCTGTGTGATTGAGGAGTGACGGATGGGAAAAGCGACGGAATTCATTCCAGCATCTTAAATTTCCATGGAATGAGGGCGTCGCTAAGAATGCATGGGGAGACTGAGAAATAGTCACCAGCTAGAAAGTCCAGGGTTACCTTAGTGCGACACTGTGGAAGTATCCAGCTGGGCAGTTAACCGTGTTACCTCCGATTACTGAAACCGCAGCTCTGAGTTTAGGAATGTCTGGAATAGAGTACTCGACCAACTAAGATTTGAACGCAAAATTACACCGAGTTTTCTAATAAAACAAATTCAGGAAAGGCGTTGGTATGGAGTGGGGAAAATCGCGACCATCTGTCACCGCACAAATATGAAAATACCACGACAAAAGCTATATGGCACTAATACAATGCCATCCTGCACGTCTTCCCAGATAGAAAAAAGGAGAGCATTTCATACGGTGACAAATACACAGCTATTCAATGTTCAATCCCGACCAGGAGGGGACAAGGAAGCCTTCCCTGCGGTCTGTGTTCCTTTGAACACTGGAAATAGGGTTTATTCGGTCCGAGTTGCAGCAGCAACTTTATATCGCAGTCTTCGCGATCTGTATCTACATTTTAACCTAAAACGCCCCCGGCCCCGGGGTGCGAAGCAGCAGCGGGCGACGTGTTTCAGCGCCCGCGCACTTGGCCAGCCCACGACCAAGCCGAGCGCGGACGCGGCGGCAGGCGGGGCCGAGGTCCGGGCAGCGCGGGGCCGAGCGGCGGCGGCGGCCGGCCGCAGTGGTGCCGCAGCCTCCCGGCCGCGGCAGGTGGGACCGGGCCGGGCACGCAGGCCGTCCCGCCGCCCGCCCACCGCGGGGTCGTGGAGACGGGCTCGGCGACGCCGCGGCGGACTGCCCGTGTCCGCACGCACCGACTTGGTCGCTCCCTGTCGGGGAAGACCGGCCTTCGCCGCACTGACGCGAACCCCACAACTTTACGGAGCGTTGCCCGCTGCCCGGTCCGGTCTGTCCCACGTCCCCGGCCGGGAGCCCCGCGCTGCGCCCGCAGACAAAGGCGCGCGGAAGCCAGAGGGACGGAGCGCCGGCCTCGGCCCGCAGGGGGCGCCGTGCTCCGAGCCCCGGGCGCTTACCTTTGAGGACCGAGCCGAGCTGCTCCAGGGCCATGTTCCCGGCGGCCGGGCGCTTCAGAGGGGCTCGGGCGGCGGCGAGGCGGCGGCGGAGCGCGGCGCTCACGGCCCGGCGCGGCGGCGGCCCCGCTCCGTGCCCATCGCGGCCAGCAGGCGGCCTCCCCGCGGGCTGAGCTCAGGTCCCGCGGCGCGCCATCCCCGAGCCCCCCGCCGGCCCCCGCGCTGCCCGAGCCCCCCGACGGGCGACGCCTCCGAACCCCAGGCGCTCCGTCCCATCTACCGATCCCGAGGCGAGCAACCCGGGCGCGAGGGACGGCACCGGCGCGGGCCCGGCTCAAGTGGCGGCGGGCGCGGGGAGCCCCGGCTCATTTAAGCGGGGAGCGCGAGCGCCGCGTGTCGGCCGCGCCGCCTGCGCGCACGTCCCGCCCCGCCCCGCCCCGCCCGCGCGCCCCTCGCGCCCTCCCCGCCGATCGCCCCTGGAGGCGGTGCCTCCGACCCGCGGCCCCAGAGCAGGGGGCGGGGGTCCCGGGGTCGCCGTCTTGGGACCGACTCTTCAGCGAACCGCCGCTGCGGGAGGCCGGCGCCCTAGGAGATCGGGCACCGACTCCTCGGCCTCCTGGGACCTCAGTTCAAGGTCAAAACTGCCCAGCTCAGCCCAGCTCCCCTACCTGCCTCGGGGCAGGGCTCGGGGCCACTGGGGGCCTGGCATTTCCCTGCCCTTTAGCGCCTGGGGGTAACCTGAACGCGGTAACGATTGCTAACACTTGCTGAACGCTTCCCAGGATGCGGGCGCAGGGCCAAACACGCTCCGTGCCAGCCCTTCAGCCCTCAGACTCAGCTCCTGCGGTAGGCGCTGTTAGGGGGCGGGGGAGCGAGGCCAGAAAGGTGAAGCGACGCGTGCAGAGCCGCACAGCGGCGCGGGAGGCCCGGGTGGCAACCCGAGAAACCCGGCTCCGGACTCTGCCCTCCTACCTGCTGAGCCGCGCGCTCGGGGTCGCTTGACTCCGCTGATAAAAATCTCCAGATTTGCAAACTGCTGCATAGCATTCGGCGTTAATGCTCCTACTTTATTTTCTCCATAGTGATTTGATCACGCTCTGAAATTATCTTGCTCATCGACTTATTCATCGCCTGTATCCCATTTCCCCCAACTCTATTAAAATATAGGCTGCTGGAAGGCAGCGAGGCTCACCTATTCACTCCATGCGTCCTTGCGGAGCGTTGAGCGTGTTCAGAAAGCAACGACAGCGGCCGGGGAACGTCCCTGGTGGAGGCCCTCCTGCAATCTGCAGCACTTGTGCTGGTAGCTGACGCGCAGTAGGGGTGCCACAAACGTTTGTCCATAGTTAGGGAGGGCGTCGGGCAGGCAAAGAAACCTTCCAGCAATGGCAAGGCCTTCTCTCGTCCCCTCCGCCCCTCCAAGCAAAGCACAGAAGTCAGTTCCCACAGGGTTACTGGTGGACACGCATGTCACGCCAATATACATGACTGAGCCCCTTGCCATGGGAGGCATCAAAGATGTGTATGTTTGAGTGCATACAAATCAGCTACGGTTACACTGAGGCTGCGCGCACAAGAACCAACTGAGTGAGTAGGTAAAACTTTTAAGCGCCTTTCCCCCAAGTATAATAAAGTGGCATTTTGAGAGAGTGTTCAATCGAAGGCATGGGCAATGGTGGAGAAAACAGGACGAGGAGGAAGGCGGCTTCCTCGCGCAGGGAAGGCAATGGGTTCTTGAGGCGCAGCCATGGATGGAAGGAGGAATGAGCGTGTGATGTCGCAGAGAATGGCGCTCGTGAAGGGGGTGCCACACAGAGAGCGGACAGAGAGGAGAGGAGGGGGCGAGCACCCGTTTGGGGCGAGCGTTGTGCTTGGGGGCAGTGGTTACGTTGACCGGGGGGCTTGGATGGTGGGCGTCCTGGCCTGAACACGGGGCAGAGGAGTCTGCCCTGGATTCAGGAGGCCGGAGGCATCGTGGGGGTTTTTGGTTTTTGTTTTTCAACAGCAGAAGATGAATCCGGCAGCCGCGTTGAGGCTATAGTACAAGAGGAGAGAGCAGAGCAACCACAGTATTTCAAAAGTACCCATCCAGCACTTTCTCGCTCAGCCCTCTTTCTTGCCCGAAAAGCCTCTCCTCCAGCGCGTTGGCTGGGGAGCGGCACAGTGCCCGGGGAGTAGACTGGAAAGGCTCATTTCGCGGCCCCCTTGGGAGACACCTGTCTCCGGTAGGTACGCGGGTACACGTCGGCACTCGCGTTTCCAAGGAACGTGGCGAAGCGCAGATGCCCAGCCGAGACGGCTGGGCGGCCATCTGCGGGCGGAACCCATGGGAGGGCGGTCGGCACGGCTCTCCGCTGGCAGTTCTGCAGGGAGCGGGTGCTTCCCCGGAAGAGCCCCCGGCAGCGCCAGGCTGCTCGCAGGTTGCGTGCCAGCGCCCAGCCGGCCTGGCTTCCCCGTGGCCGGCTGCCTCCCGGCAGGGCTCTGGCCGCGCCAGCTCCTCGCAGGACCGCCCCGCAGAGCGCGCTGGGTTTCCTCCGGCCAAGTCTCCTGGTGGGTGCAGGTAGCCCGGGCCCCCGGTCAGAGCAACTCGCGGCAGAAGTGCCGAGCAGAGGTTTCTGTTCTGTCTTTCTTGCTGGAGTCGGGAGCTCTAACAGGCTATTACATGACAGTCTCACAAGGCAGGTGGCTACGTGTCCGGATTGCCACGGACTGAACGTCTGTGCCCCTCGCGACGCCTACGTCCAAGCCCTGAGCCCCCGGGGCGGTTGCACTCGGAGATGGGGCCCCGGAGGTTGAAAGAGGCCGCAGAGCGCGGCCCTGGCCCGATGGGACTCGCGTCCTTACGGGAAGAGCCAGCAGAGGGCGCCCGTGCAGGGGCGAGGCCGCGTGCGGACCGCGGGAGAGGGCGGCCGCCCGCCAGCCCCGCAGGGAGCCCTCCCGCAGGAGGGCGGCCGGGAGCCTGGATCTGGGGCTTCCGGCCGCCAGAACCGTGAGAAAGACGACGGTGCCGGAGCCCGCGAGTCTGCGGCATTTTGCCACGTGATGCGGAGATGCAGTCGAGGCAGAGCCAGGGGTTACGCCGGCCCACGCGTGTGCAGAAAACGTCTTTGCGGCGCCGCCGAGCGGGGACCGGCTGTCCGCGGTGACAGACGGCGGCCTCTTCTGCTGTCGAGTAGCAATGAGCTCTCACCCGCACCCCCTGCCACCTGCTCTTCCTCCCGGGCGCAGACGCGGCCGCGGCGACGGAGAAAATTTACTGAGAAACAGAATCTACAGGATCTCAGAGTGCGCGCGTCTGGTTTTTGTTATGCCACTGTAGGGCTTGGGGGCGGGGGGAGGAAAAGAGGAAAATTATTAATTTTTTAAACTCACGGCATTAGTGTGTCCAGGCTGCCGTGACAAAATACGACCCGCGGGGCAGCGGGAACCACAGAAGCTGATTTTCTCGCAGTTCTGGAGACCGGAAGGCCCAGGTCAAGGCGAGACCCGCCCCCGCCTCGCAGGCCGCGCCCTCCCGGCCGCGCCTTCCCGTGGCCCGGCCTGCGCGCCCACGAGCTCCTCGGGCCTCCCGTCTCCGTCTCCGTAGGCGGACGCTCGCCCCCTGGGTTAGGGCGCCGGCCCTCATGCCTCATTTAACGTTAATTCCCTCGTTAAGGCCCTGTCTCCAAACGCGGTGTCACTGGGGTTGGCGCATCGGCACAGGCCCTGGGGAGGGGGCGGGGGCGGGCACAGTCCAGCCCCTGCACGCGTGAACCCCAGTCACTCCTGTGCCGATGACGGGGGGAAAGAGCTACCTCCGGTTGGGGAGCCTTTTAAAATCAGTTCTTTGTCACCTAAACTTGTTTCCAAATTTCTGCTGAGCCTGTTTCCAAAGCAAGAACGTCTTAAAGAAACACTGCCTACACCCGGGACTGAGGGAATTCAACTTTAGTAGGCAAACCTCTGGTCATCCAGTTGCTTTCATTTGATTGTAAAAAACTAAGAAAGGTCCTAATTGTATTTCTTAGAATAACACTGTTAGCATCTATGGTTTCTTTTTTTAAAAAAGCCCGAATCCCATTTTGAAAGGCGGTCTGTTTATGCTGAAACCTGTTTACTGCCGGCTGAAATGCATGCGGGCTGACTGGTACAATATGAAATCATCGCAGTGCAGTGTAAAATTCTTTTTTTTTTATTTAAAAGATTTTACTTATTTTCAGAGAGAGGGGTAGGGAGGGAGAAAGAGAAGGAGAGAAACATCAATGTGCACAAGAATCGGCAGTTGGTTGCCTCTCCCATGTCTCCAACCAGGGACCTGGCCGCAACCCAGGCCTGTGCCCTCACTGGGAATCAAACCGGCAACTTTTCGGTTCACAGGCTGGCGCTCCACCCACTGAGCCGCACCAGCCGGGGCCAAAGTGTAAAACTCTTAATATGGTTATTTGGTAATGTTGGCTGGAAAATAGAATTTCCTTACCCGTTCAGCTTAAGGGCGCGGCGGGCTGACTCGGTGCTGCCTGTCATGCCTGGACTGTGGACACGAGTGAGGTCAAGTGCGCATGTTCCTCCATGTGTCTGTGTCACTCAGATCTCAGGGTACATTTGTACGGAAGCTACAGCTAAATTACTGCAGTTATTAGCAACAAATCATAAACTGTTTTTTTGTGCTACTAAGTATATGATCTAAGATTTTTAGTGAAACTCATATTTCTAGGTATACGATCTATAAAGGGATCTTTGGGGAACTTTTATAAGAGTAAAAAAGTTATGGGCTGTAGTACCTATTTGGAAAAATGCCTAAACACCTGAATATATATGCCTTAATAAAAATATCTACACACACACACACACACACACACACACACACATACAGCTTAATGATAAAGCCAGGCAGCAAGGAAATACCACCGGATCAAGAAACACAACTTCATCTGAACACGGAAGCGGCCCTCATGCTTGTGCCCGATTCTGACCTTTCAGTCCCCAAGAGTTCCTCACCATTCTGACTTTTATCATTTCCTCCCCGCGCGTTCTGCGCCTGTAAATGCCTCTTTAAACAGCGTGCAGCTGTCTCTGAACTTCGTGTGAATTGTATCGCGCTGTATATATTTGCATGCGATTTGTTTTTTTGCCAAGCTTTCTGAGACTGATCTGCGTTGTTACGTAGGGTGGTATGCCATTAAATGTCACGGCCGCATAGAATAGGATTTCTTTGCATAAAAAGCCACGTAGACGGACATTTTGAGAGTTTGTAGCTTTTAGCCCTCCTGCACATGGCTGCTGTATTTATGGTCGGCTCTGCTCAGGTTCGGCAGCCGCGGATTCGACTAGCCATGGATCAAAAATATTTGAAAGAAGTGTTTTCTGCTGACTTAATTTTATGTCATTAGGCCTGTGAGGGTTGGGTCTGAACCGCACAAGTTCAACCTTTTCTTGTCATTATTCCCTAAGCAATGCTGCATGACAACTTCTTGTGGCCATGTGGTAGGTATTGCATGTAACCTAGAGGTGACTTAGGGTGTACAGGGGGATGGGCCGAGGTTGTGTGCAAATAGGACACCGTTTTACACAGGGGGCTTGAGCACCCCTGGACTTTGGTGTCTGCGGAGCGTGGGCGGGGCACGGAACCAAGCCCCCGCGGGTACCAGGGGTTGACGGCACACCTCGGTACTGTGTGCGGGTGCGAGAGCGCCCGCTGAGAGCAGGGCTGCCGTGTAGAAGGGCAGCACACGCATCTCCAGCTTCGGTGAGTGTAAGGAAAAGCGACGCCAGCTCTGCGGGGTGGCTCCTGCCCTTCTTAGAAAGTCCCGCTGAGAACACGCGAGGTTTCTCTTGCTTCATGTCCACACCCTCATTTGGTTATTGCGGCTTTTACTGCTACTTGTCAAACCAGTGTGTGTTTAGCGGTATCTCCGTGAAGTGATAATTTGAATTTTTCTTAATAATCAGGTTGAACACCTTTTACATGCATATTGGCTGCTTGGATTTTTGGGGGGTGGGTGTGAACGATCATTCAAAACTTCTGCCCCGTTTTTTACTGGGCTGCTTTTTAAAATCATTTTGTAGAATTTCTCTATTTCTGGATACTAATCAGTCACATACATTGAAAATGTTTTCTTTTACTCTATGACTTGTCTCTTTACCCTTTTAACGGTGTCTGTGATGAACAGCAGTTATTAATTTTAAAGTACTCCAATACATCAAAAATTTCCTTTATACATTGTGTTGTGACTTGAATAAGAACCAACCCCTACCCGAGGGCCATGAAGTTATTTATGTATATTAAATACTAAATGCTTATAACTTTGCCCTTCACATTCAGGTCTTCGATTCACCTGTCTCCTTGCTGATACTACACTGCATTATTCATTATTGTTACTCCAAGTTCTGACATCTGAGCAATTTCTTGCTCTTTTTCGATTGCCTTGACTACTGTTGGCCTGTTGTATCCCCATATACATTTTAGAAACAGCCTATGGAGCTCAGGAACAACAGCAACGCCGCTGGGACGCTGAGCGGAGCTGGGAGAGGCTGGACATCCTCACAACGGTCAGTTGCGCTGCCCACAAACGTGGTGTGACTGGGCGTTTATGGAAGGTTTGTTTAGTGTTTCCCAGAAGAGTTTCACGATTGACCAGATGTGGTGCGTTTTGTTCTGGTGTGTACAGTATCTGTAGTTACGTCTCCTTTTCCATTTCTGACGTGGGTTATTTGTGCCCAATTTCCTTTTTTTTTTTGTAGTCATATTTACTTAAAACATGTTTTGCAAGCAGAATGGCATGTAACAACCGTGTGACTAATAATTTGCACAATGTGTAAATCATAGCTGAACTGGACATTTACTCTCTTATAAAAAATATGGCAATTTATGTAATGACTCAGGAGAATTATGTGTTACAGAAAAGGGAGATTTATGTTTTGATTACGTAGCCAAGGAGTGAATCTAAAGTGGTCCACACTGATTTGTGGCGCAGGAGTCTCCAACTACACAGACAGTCCTAGGTAAGTTATGTTCGCTTATTTATCCTCAAGGGCTTTGGAAGTGCCGTCAACAGGCTGAACGCAGATATACTATTGACTTATTTCAAATCCATCTCAAATCGATGGAAATTATAGGTATGAGTAATTTTAAATTCTAAAGTATGAATGTGGCTCTCAGATTTTCAGTGAGTATAAATGTCCCAAATGGCATATAAAACACCCCACTTCCTTCTTCTCTCAGAGGCCCTCGGGCAGCCCGTGGCGGGCGGACGGAAGGGCGTGGGGGGCGAAGGCCCGGCCTCCCCGCCCTGACGTGGGACAGGGGAGGGGCGGGGGCCGCTCGTCCTCTCTCAGCGCTCACCGTGGCCTTGCAGGAGAGCACATCTCAGCGCTCCGTCGCTGATGGAGAGCGCTCCTGAACTGGTTACCCATTCTCTTGGTCTTTGAAAGTAACCGGCCTGGTGACGGGAAGCCAGGCTGCGAGTCGCGGCCGCGGCGCCGGGAACCTTTCAGTTCCCCTTTGTCCGGGGCGCTCGGCCCTCAGGGTCCGAGCTCCGTCTTCAGCGACCATCGGGGGCTGGCGCACACAACTCAGCCTTGCGAGCTGCTTTTGTGAGCGGTTCTAGCTATTTTTAAGGATTAATAGTTACTGGTTTTATTCTTTCTTAGAGACCTTCTAACAGATGAAAGAAAAGTTACTTCTTAAAACATGACTAACACTCATCCTCTTGCAATGGCGCTGAGGATCCGCTGGGCCCTTGTAGAGACCTAGGCTTCACCCTGTGATCTCGTGGTGCTGCTGTTCCTGCATCCTGAACACGCTGCCGGAGGGCTTCTCTGCGTGAAAAGGCTGCCCACGAAGCCGAGACCGCCCCCTCCGGAGGCGTGGTGCCCACCGCTTGTGAGATGCTCTTCCTGGGCCGGTAGGGACACTTAGTCATGGGTGGGTGCGTGTCCAGGTACCTCCACCCACAGTGGGTCCCTACCCTCCCTGAGTGAGAGCGAGGAGGGTAAGGAGAGTCTGTTTAAAAGTTGCGACCTTTAACCCTGAGGCCTGCTAGGAGTGAGAGCTATCTTGGGAATCAAGTTTTTGAAAGTATGTAACATTTTTTGGCATGTAGAGGGAGAAATAGAAACTGGCTAGTTCAAATGAATGCTGTATTAGCAACAATGTATTTATGGTACAGGTGACCCTTGAACAAGATGAGGTTTGGGGCGCCAACCCCCTACCGGTGTCGTTGGAAAACCCACATGTGACTTCTGACTCCCCTAAAAGTTAACTACTGAGAGCCTGCTGTTGTCCGGAAGCCTTACTGATAACAATCGACCAGCACATATTTTGTTGGTTACATCTATTATCTATATGCTCGTATACCATATTCTTACAATAAAGCCAAAAAATAGAAAATGTTATTAAGAAAATCGTAAGGAAAACACATCTACAGTATTCATTGAAGAAACTCATGTGTAAATGGATCTACGTGGCTCAAACCCGCGTGGCTCAAGGGTCGACTGTACAACAAATACTGTGATTTCTGTCTTCACGATGATTGTTAAGGATTACTCCTCCCAGTTCCCCAGGAGGACAGAAATGCTTCTCAGTGGAAGGGAGGCAGGAAGCGCGTCACCCACTGTCCCTGCAGCGTGGAAGGGGGGCGGGAAGGAGCCCACATGTACCAAGTACCTCCTGTGCCCGCGCTGCCCAGTACGGCTCAATACAGTCCTTCAAGGTGTCACCACCGTGTCGCGATGGAGAAACCAAAGCTCACAAAGGCCGAGTGGTGGGCCAAAGGTCACCGGGTGGGACAGCCAGGCTCTGTACCCAGACTTGTCTAACCTCGAGGTCCTCTACTCTTTCCACTACAATATTCAAAATTAACATAAAGGCGCTTGTAGTTGATTCTTAATGTTCTGCGCCCGCTGGCCCTTAATGAATGACTTGGATGCTGCATTTGGAGCGTGGCGTCCAGATCTGGAAGCATCCTGTAGGGTCGCTGGGCTCTGATTGCCATCACATGCCTTCTGCCTGCGGCGCTGCTCCCCGTGGGCCCCGGCCGCAGCGGGGGTTTCAGTCAGGCGGGGCAGCCGGCGGCCCACAGGGGCAGCGGGCGAGCTCATTTCCCTTGGTCTCCCAGGCTGGTGTGCAGCCCGGACCTCAGCGTCCCTCCCGCTCTGGAATGTTGCCAGTAACTCACAAACTCACTGAAATACTTTGTGTCAACACAGAGTATTTATTAAGACGACATTAACATGCTTAGACACAAAGTAACCCACTTAAACACATGCCGATCTCAGTGAACCCTAAAGAGGTAACATGAGGAACAGAGTGGTTTTCAGGTCAGTTTTCACGGTCCGGAGCTGCCCCACGCCCGCGGGCGTACAGATGGGTATCAGTGCTGGTTAACTGTGCACCTTCCCCCCAACCTTAGATTTAAGTCTCAAAATGACTTCCCGGCCCAGTGACGCTCACAGAAGTTCGCACTGGAGTCTGACTGCAGTCAGGCTCCCACGTGCTCCTGGGAAGGGACGTGTGCCTTCCCGGGCCAACCTGTCACGGTCCCCTTCAGGAAACTGATGCTCATCATCGCCACATGGCAAGGATCAGGGTTCAGCTGAAAATCCGGGGCACGTTCCTTCTTGGAGGGCGTTATAATAGTTTTAGTTATTATGAACAAGTAAGAAACCCTTGTATTAGGTACCAACCACCAAGAATTTAGGTTTTCCAAGTATTATTTCCTAATGCCTGAAAATAAAATTCTTTAGAGTCTATGTCTTTTGATAATTAGCCGTAGAAGTCTAAAAAAGTCATCGAAAAGCAGGGACAGTTACCGCTCACTGAGCACTTCTCTGCGCCAGACCCGACACGCCGAGCGCCTGACACACGTCATCGCTGTGACGCGCACGCTGACTGGCTGCACGGCAGCGCCCGCCAGCGGCCAACGGGGAGCGGAGGCTGCCCGAGGCCCGGCATCAGCCCAGCTCCCACGGCGAGGACGCAGCGCGGCCCGGGGCGGAGCGTCCGCCTGGCCGCCCGCGGCTCCACGGTCAGCTGCCCAGCCGCTGCCCAGCCAACGCCAGCGACACCCCCGCCTGGCGAGATGAAGGGGAAGGTTGACAACTTGATCTGCGGGACCCACGGCAGTGCCCTCGGCAGCGTTCGAACAGGAAACAGGACCAGGTCACGTGGGACGTGAAAAACCTGCTTGCTTGAGTGCTTTTATTTACAGTCTCCCCCTCACCGTGATTCTAATATGATTACAGCGACACAGACACCCGAGCACATGCAACGCGCCCCCCCACGGAACAGAAGCGCACAGCGCGCTTAAATAAAGAGCCCGATCGCGGTGTGCAAAGTGCTTTAAAAAAGACCTGCGACACATTCAGACCACGTTTGCGTGAATGCTGTCCGATAATTACCAAAAGAAGCATCGTTTATAAATAATATTCAAAATCCCCTATTTTCTTCTCTAAGCCAAATGTAGCATGTCAGTTAATCACATGAAGGCCGGTCCATCGTGTGATATGAAAGGCGAGTCACATGGCGTCGAAGTGGAACCGGTGGGCTTCCTGGCGTTTTTCTCTATCGTCCGCTTTCTGAAAGAGAATGTCAGACTAGGTTATAAAATGATGGGAAATGTCAAGAAACGACTCATTTCTGAAATTAAAGTGGTTAATTTAAAAAAAAAAAAAAAGCCCTCACCATCTAGCAGACAACAGGTGTGATTTTTGTGGTCTTATGAATTATTTTTAAAGTTTACAGTAGTGATTTTATAAATGGTCCATTAAATTGAATTTAAAAATCAACAAAAAATGTTCCTTACATGCTCAGTTTGTTACTTATTTGAAAATAGGAGTAAACATGCGATTTTGTAAGGATGGAATCAACTATTACATTTTCCCTGTTCTTAACACTGATGTTAATAAACAAATCTGATTATACTAAGCTATGTTAATTATTTTGGGGTTAACCTATTGATTTAGCAGAATTTATTGACTCTCTGCTCCCAGCAACGTACTGTGCTTGGTATTTTGAGGGACTAAAAAGACCCTCAGTTTTGTATTTTGTTCTCAAGGAACTTAAAGCTTAGAAAGAGAAAGCCAAACATATTTCAGAATACCAAGCGAGAAATGTCACCAGCACTCTGAGAGGGAGGCGGCTTCAGGTCGGCTGAGGAAAGGGGGCCTTTGAAAGGACAGCGATGGCGCTGGAGGCAGAGCAGGCTGCGGAGGACGTCAGGCGGGGGCGGGGACCGTGCCGGGGCACCTGGTGAGAAAGGCTGGCGGGGCCCACGGGGTCCCTGGAGGGTCAGGGAGGCCGCTGAGTGGGCGGGCGGTCTCCAGAGTCCGGGTGGGCCGGCAGCAGCGGGACGGAGGAGGGACAGGGGGCGGGCGGGGGGCCGGCGCCCAGTGGAAGTGCCGTGGAGGGGGACAGGGACAGTGGCCGAGCCTTGGAGGAAGGCAGGAGACAGAGCTTTAGACCCTGGTTTCGGGGCGGGCCAGGGAGCCAGGCAATGGCTGAGGGTGGGGGAGGGGGCTGGGGGGAGGAGGCTGGCAGACCGCGGGGCATGGGGGGCCCTGGCAGGTGCGCGGCCTCCAAGTGCAGGCAGGGGCGGGCCCGGGGGCAGGACAGGAGCCCCCATGGCCAGGGCCACGCGCCTGTCTGTGCGTGAGCCTCCGCCTTTAGCCACGCACTGAGGGTGGGAAGCCCCCCAACGCCCCTACTGTAACCAGGCCCCCTGAGAAACTAATCAAATTAATTTCCTTAATTTAGGTTGAGAGCTAAATAATATTTCAGACTAGGCTCCGACAGTTCTGGACACCAGTCCGTGAGGCCGCCCTGCATCTTACCTCCTCAGCTGACCTTAAAATGAACTGGATGTGTAACTTTATCACGTTTTTGATTCGAAAGGAGTGGTGTATTTGGAGAGAAGCCTATGAACACTTAGCAGAACAAGGAGCATGCTCTCCTTCCCGCAGACCGGCCAAGGGGGTGCCGGCGGTCACCGCGGTTAAAGGGCCGTGATGGCCCGACGACACAGCGCGGGCAGAGCCCGGCCTCGGGGACTCAGCTTTTCCTGTTTACAGCTGTCCTGCTAGTGCCTTTGCGATAGCCTCCTTTTCTCCTCACTAGCGCTGTATAAAAAACGGACATTTTTGGAGTTTCGTTTTTCATTATTTAGGGTGTCACACTAAAGCCCAGAAATCGGGTCACTGCAAAGAACAGTTCCTAGACGGCAAAGATGCGCCCCCCGGTCGCTCCCCGCGCGGACCCCGAGACGCGCCGTGCGCGCGGTGAGCGCCAACGCCGCCTCCACAGAGGGCGCTGCCGTCCCGGGGCGAGCAGGGCTCTCTCGGGCGGCAAACGCTCTCATTGACAAGGTGCTCATGTTCTCAGGCCCTTGTGAAATTGTTTCTCATTAAGAGTTTCTTCTTTTTCCTTTTTGAATTTTTTAAATTTTATTTTTCCATCACCATTTATCCCCCCACACCCTCTTCCTCGTCCACCCATGCCCCTCCCCCACTAATTAAGATGTTATCTATACCCAGCAGTTTGGGGGTGATCCCTCTATAACTCTTGTACAACCGTCAGTTTTAAAATGAATAGTCTCCTCCTGGGATTTGCACGAATTGCTAAGACACATGGTAACCCAACGAGATAGAAAAAGTGATCGATCATCAGTAAGATGACAGCACGGACGGAACCTGAGAAATCAGAATCTTAACCGCGTCAAAAACGATTCGACCACGGCGGTTCCGGAGCACTGCATCGCCGTCACAGGGTAACCCAAGCGACTGCCGCGGGGACCCCGGGGGCCGAGCGGACCTTCTCCTGCCAGTGCAGGGCGCCGATGATGGCCAGGATGAAGACGCAGACGCCGACCAGCGCGATGGCCGTCAGCAGCACGATGTTGCTCGGCGTGAGGTACAGCTTGGCGCTCCAGCTGCGGGCGAGAACGGACAACTGAAATTGCGGCTTTAATGGAGATCAAAGAGCAAAAGAGCTTATCAATCAATTCATTCACTCAATCATTCACCCACCTATCCATTTGCTAGAAATAAAACAAAAGCCCTAAATGGATAGCAACGGTCCTGCTGAGTTCAGATTAACTCAGCGGACTGAAAGAGAACAGAATTTCTGATGAGATGCTGTGATATTTTTCTTTGATCCTGTGAGAACTATTCTTATGTACATTTATCAAGGGTACTTTGGACAATGTGACACATTGTTTTCACATCTTGCTTGACTTGCTTAATTTGAAACCTTGAACTCTACAGCGAGGTAGCCACATGGTTTTGATAAGATTTCTGTATCCTTTTTCTAACCTCTGCTCACATATGTACCAGGACCAACTGGCACAACCACATGTCCAAGCAGGCGCAGGCGGATGGCTTGTGCGAAACTTCTGTCGCTTGTGTGTCAGTGTGTACAGCACTGAGCTGACGTGAGACTTTGCACAGACCCACGCTGAGTCCGCCGGCGCCCGTGGCGATAAGCAGACCTCGGCGCGGGCCGACGCAGGCCCTTCTCCTAGAGCAGCCGGCAAACCGCCGCTGTGCGGAGCTGGGGAGCCCACGGCGGAGCCCTGCCCGCCGGGGCCGCAGGCGGCTCCGTGGGAGTCATCTCTGTGTGCATCTTAGAGTTTAATAAAGGTAAGGGCATTCGGATCAATGGCAAGTAGCAATTGACTTATTTTGGAATAATTAAAGTTTATTGATCCATAAGTTAGTCTCTAGTCAATAAATCTCAGACTACACCTCAAACTATAATCAATTTGTTTTCTTATTATGTACATAAGTTTGAAAAGAACATTTCTTCAGAAAAAGCAAGAAAAACATGACAAATGCTGAGATTATGGAAGAAAAATTCTCACAGAGTTTTCCAGAAATTCAAAAGTAAGAAAACAGATCCTGTTAATTAGTCAAGATTAGCTACTCAGTGCTTTATCTCATACTTAGGAAAGTTCCTTGGTAACAAGTTTCTGGTATTTTGACCTTTTAAACAGATAGTAACACCCACGAATATACAGTGGACTTCTGTCCAGCGCTCAGGTCACGCTCAGAAGCAGCCTGCCCGTCAGTCCTGGGCACATCCCGCGGAGACACGGTCGCGTGGCGCACGTGGGTGGCCGCCGCCTTGCAGTGATCTGGCCACTGCTTATCCTACACTCTCTGCACACGCGCTCCTCTCCCCCGTGCTGGCCCGCCGCTCCACGCTGGGGATGTCCCATGTCGGGACGCCGCGCCCCACACACGTCCCGTAACTTACACGGCTTCCCACGCAGGGAGCGGCTGTTCTGGCTCTATCAGTTTTATGTACAGAAAGCTAACAAACATCATATAGATTCTTTAGAAAATGTGGCCTCAGGTTGTAACCGTTTCTGGCAAACCACCTGACTACATCCCACCTAGAAAATGTAACGAAGAACAACACAGCCTGTACTGTGAGAAGAACTGTACCAAGCAGGGCCCACCGGTCACACATTCGCAGACCCGCTACCGGTCTCCCTCCGCCATTCTTCACGTTGGTATCAGACCGGCCTTCAGAACATGTTATGAATAAAAATAACGTTATGTTCTTTCAAGTGAAACTTGAATGCTTGTGAATAGCTTTGTCATTGACTTTTTTAAAAAGATGGAATCTAGTGATTAAAAAAATGAACATAGGTAAATGCAGGATTAAGAGTTCAATGCTACATCGCGGAAGGCACGCGTGTGCTCACAAGGACAAGGGCACCTCCCGTTCAGGGACAACGCGCTGCGCGCAGGGCGCCCAGCTGAGCACCGCCCGCCCGCACCCATGGCAGGTGGGGGCCTGGTCTCAGAGAGACGGAGGGCTGGCTCTGGCCCAGCCGGTCCGCGGTGGCTCTGCGCGTCGAGCCCGGGTCTGTGTGCCTCCAAAACCTGTGCCTTGCCCCTGTGGGACCTGCGGGCACACCACCGGTGAGAGCTTTTACGGCAGAGTCCGGTTCTTATGAAAACTCAGCATCCTAAGGTTTCAGAACGTAGAGCGAGTAAACTGAAGGCTGGCTTATTTACGTGGAATGTGTATAAACCCCTCGTTAACCTGCCGTTTCTATAATACGGTTTAATTTGCTCTTTGTGAAAACCGTCAGGGAACTCTGGTGTCAGTATGTCTAGCCACTTCAGGTTTGCGGTGAGGGAACCAGGGGTGGCACGCCCGGGGACGGGGACACGCGGGGACAGGGAGCTTTAAGAGGACAGCACTGTGCACACGACTCAGGGCGGACGGCGCCGGCAGGGACGTTACCTCCGGGGGACGCTGTGAGGGAAGGGGATCACGATGAGCTGGGAGTTCGGGATGATGGCCGTCCACTCCTGCTTCCGCACGGCCTGCAGAGGAAGCGACGGACAGGGTCAGCGGCGCGCGGGAACGTCGTGGCCAGCAAGGACACGACAAACACCCTGCTGCTTTCTTTGAATCCGGGGCAGGGGCTGAGCCACACTCACACTCGTTAAGTCCCAAACGGGGCTCCTGGGCCCCGCTGGCATTTTTTAAAAGCATCTTTTCAGGGGGAGGAGTTTATCTCTGTCTCATGGATTCATTAATTCAACAGATACTTATTGAGGGCTCTTATGTAGCTGTCGCTGTTCAAAGTGCTTCGCCCTAATGCTCCTTGGAGCTCAAAGTGGAGGTGAGTATGACAACAAGCAAATACAACGGCGGGGGCGGGGGGTCGCGGGTTGGGCAGGGAAAGGGTGGCGTGGAGGCACAGGAAGCCACGGGGTTCTGGGGAGGAAGTGGCCAGCCCTCCTTCAAAGGACCAGCGCTCTACGTAGGGCAAAGGCCACTACTAAAGTCGATTTTCTTAGTTCTTTAAAGGGAATACAAATATTGGAATTATTGCAATTCAAGTCAATTCAATTAGAATGTTTGCCTAGGGAATATCAAAATATAGATCAATTGTAAACAAAATATATTGTGACTCACCTTCTCTCCGGATGGACGGGGGATACCAACGTAGAGATGATCAAGGAAATTTGCACTTCGACCCAAACCAAGTACATTGTATGGTAGCTGGAGCGCTAGATGTGCTGACTGGCTGAGCTGTCCGGCTGAATGTATTAAAAATAAAAAATAAAAAAAGAGAAAGAAAGGCATCTTTGGAAACATTGTTCTTATCAAGTATTAAAATAAGACGTTAAAAATTCAGGTGCTAGAACTTATCCTTTCAGGATAGAAATGTGCAATGAAATGTCTGGTTCATTTGCTTTTTAAAGAAAACAGCTTTATCAAGATATAACTCACATGCCATAAACATCTGGTTTTGAGTACATTCAAAAAGCCATTGACCCATCACACCAAACTGTAGAACATTTTCACTGTCCCACAGAAATCCGCTCCATTACCCGTCACCCTTGCCCCTAGGCCCCGCTTCCCGGCCGTGGCTACGAACCGGTGCCCCCCTGTGTGGATGGGCCTGCTCTAGGGGTGCACGCAGCCGCGCCGCCCACGGGCGGTCTCCTTGTGAAGGGTGCTGCTGGGGGCGATCACGCCCAGGAGCTGCGGGGGCTCGCGGTTCCCGAGTGGCCGCTCCCGCAGGAAGAGAGGACTGGCCAACTTCCCCGCAGCCGCTGAGGTCGCAGCCTTCTCCCTTCTCCGGTGGTGAAGGGGTACCTCACCGAGGCTCTTTTGTGTATTTTGATGCTGGCCTTCTTTTCACATGCTTAGTGGCCATTTCTGTAGCTTCCTTTTTTACATCTCTAAGGTTTTAAAAAGACCTTAAAGTGGTCTCCGCTTTCATTTTGTTTTAGTGTTTTTTTTTTTTCTTTTGGTCAGCTTAGCCAAAAGTCTGTAAATGTTAATCTTTAAGAAAACTCTCTTTATTGGTTTTCTCTGTTTTTCTATTCCCTACTTATTTCCTCTCATTTCTTGCCTTCTGTTTCCTTGGGTTTAGTTTGCTTTTCTTTTTCTAGTTTCTTAAAGTAGGTTAGATTTCTGGTTTCAGACTGTTTTTTCCTTAATGGAGGCACTTGTAGCATCAAATTGCTTCGCGCACCTGCCTCAGCTCCATCCTACTCATTTTGGTAGGTTGTGTTTTTGTTTCCATTCACTTAAGTACAGTTTCCCTTGCGATTTCCTTCTTCTTTGGTTTTTTAGGAGTGTCTTTAAATTTTCACATACTCATGAGTTTTCGAACTATTTTCATTTCTAACATCATCCAGTTGCAGTTGGGGAACATGCTTGGGACGATTTCCATCCTTTCAGCTTCCGGGAGTCTTGTTTTATGGCCCAGTGCGCGGGGGACGCAGCGCCTGTGCCGCCGGTGCCCATCTGCTGGGCCGAGCGGTTTGCTGGGTCTTTGTTTCTTTCTACCCATCTTCTACCCAGCTGTTTGATCCGTTACTGAAAGCGGGGTATTCAAGTCTCTGGTCATTTAGTGTTGAATTATCTTCTTCAATTCTTTATGTCTTTTGGGGGTTCTGTTGTTAGATACTTATGTCTTTATAGTTGTTATATGGATTTTTATGGATTCCTTATGGATTGATCTTTTTAATGTGATTAGAAAATGTCCCTCATCTCTAGTTAACAACTTTGTCTTAAAGACTAGCTTTGTCTGACGGGGAAGAGGCCGCCCCAGGTCTCCTGTGGCTGCTCTGCGTGGTGTGACTTCCCCTTCTCATGGTGGCTCTCTCCTTCTTTGTATCCCTGAACTTAACGTGTGTCTCCTGCACATGGTACCTGGTTGGGTCCAGTCCTACTGTCCCTTCTGCCAACCTCTGCCTTGTGATAGGAGCGTCTCTTCCATTTACTACCCTGGCTTGGGGAAAAATAATCAGCTCTACAAAAATGAAATAAAAGGCCACAGCCAAACAGCCGATGTTTTATGTAATGCCTCTTCTCGGGAGAGAGAACTGTTCTGAGAAACATTTGTTGTTCCCAGACAGACGGCTCTGAAGCTGCCACACTGACAGCAGTTGACAGGGACAGAGGAGCAGCCTGGGGGGGACAGCGCGGGACTGATGGCCGGGGGCACCGCAGGCTGCGGCCGGGCCGCTCTGCTTGCATCGGGTTTCACTGCTGGGCCACGCCCGAGTGTGCGCAGACGGTGAGGCGGTGCCTCCACTCCAGCAGGAGGCCGAGGTTAAGCGATTTGACCCCAAACCCAGAGCCACTAAGTGGGGGGCAGGGGCGTTGACTTCGCAGCCTAATCTCAAACCCCACATCCTCCGTTGCCACCTGTGGCCCGTTTTCAGGAGTACAGTGTGACGCTTGTCTGGCTGCTCCAGAAAAAGGACTTCTAATGACACGAAAGAACCCTCTGCAGTGAGAGCTGTTTATTTCTTTGGCTGTTTGGGTCTGTATGGGTGCGGGGTCCCCAGGGACTGACCTGGGGGCTGTAGCATTTCGTACGCCGTCGCCCCCATTCACGTGGCCGCCTGCGGGTTGGTAAGCCATGGGCCTGCGCCCGACGGCTGCGGGCCACCTTTGTGATGTCCTCTCTCGATACCTGAAACCTGGGCCACTGAGGCAGTTCTGGGAGATGAGGCTGCTCAGGTCGGGCTCTGTCTCTAATCTGATGACGTCTGGGCAGGACACGAGTATGAAAACGACAGTGCCCCGGGTACGGCCGCGCCCGGGGCCGGCACAGGCGCCAGCTCCGGGACTCCCAGTAGTTCAGCGGCAGAGCGAAAATGTCAGGCCACCCTCACTCTCTGTAGGGGGTGCTACGGGGAACACTGCGTTATTGTGCCACGTGCTGTGGGTGTTAAATGGTGTTTTCCTGTAGGACAACAATACGAGAGTATCAGGTGGGAGTTGGCGTTTCTTTCTCTGTGAGGAAAATCTGTAATCTTGAGAATGGCAAGTGGGTAACAACCTGAACAGGAGAGGTTAACGCAAGTGAAGCCAAGGCTTGTAAGGGAAGCATCCTCATAAACAGATTTAACACCGAGTCTATTCCATGGTCCGGGGCCCAACAGAAACGTGACCGGCCCACCGCGTTTCCTCTCGCTAATTGGACCACGCTTCGCGAAGGCCTGTGTCCAGTCCCTCAGCTGACACACGCTCGGGCCTGCCCGAGTCTGGAAGTGAGACAGGTCCCCTGATTGATGGGTCCTTTGCCCGTCAGGGGACGGAGACATGACTCTGCTCCCGGCAGGACAAAGGAATAAAGGGAGAGACCATTCCAGGTGCAGGCGCGCTTCTCACAACAAAGTTGTCAAGAATGTTTAAAATTCTACTAAAATCAGCAGGTTAAAAGGTTTCGATAGATGATAAAATTAAGAAATTTAAAATGCCTTATCACTTGCTTTCCTTTGCTGCTGCTCCATTTTAATTGCTAACAGAGTAAGTTTCTGATATAGCTATTAAAATCTTCCCAGCGAGAACAATGATCCACCTGAGGCAATAATCTGTTATCTAATATGATGAGGCTCATTGTTAATGTTTATCAAATTAGAGTCCTAGTCACAGAATATCTACCAATGACACAGGTGTTTCTGGTGTGCACTGTCTGTCTTTCTCATGGAGAAGAAAAGGAGACAAATCTCAGATGCAGATGCTTAAAGATACAACCTCAGAAAAATACAACTCGCGTGTTCCCTCACCTGTAAAATCAGAATGACATTACCACCTACTGCCCAGGTTCCACGAGGCGATTACAGCCATAATACTGAACTTCTAATGTGCTTTGAAAATGGCAAAGCACTAGGCAAACGTTAGTTGTTATTTTGATAATATAATCACTCCTCATATTTGTTTGTTCCTTAGGTTGAGATTTAACTTGCTATAGTTCCTGAAAAAATAGTGTACCACTAATTTTTCACAGAGGTCTTTCTAGTTTCTCTTTCAGAGCTCACCAGAAGCGTGGAACCCTGGTCTAAGCTTTATCTGTCAACCTGCTTCCCAGTTCCAAATTCAGAATGTGAGTAGTTTCTTTTTGCTAAGTTGGTACATAATTCACATGCCACCACCGCCACCTCCCTGAAAACGCACCGTTCAGTGATCCTCAGCAGAGTCACCATGGACTGCAGACCCTTGTCGTCACCCCAGAAAGAACCCCCATGCGCCAGCATCTGCCCACCGCACCCCCCCATTCTTGTCTCTATGCATTTGCCTATTCTAGACATTTTATATAAATGGAATCGCATAATGTGCGGCCTTTTGTGCCTGACTTCTCACATTTAGGGTAGTGGTTTACGAGGTTCTTCCAGGTTACACAATGTTTCTTGGTTTTCTCCCTGGATGACACTCCCCTGCACGGATAGGCCACATTTGGCTCGCTCACTCGTTAGCTGGTGGAGATCTGGTTTGTTCAGACTTTCTAGCTCTTACGAATGACGCTGCTGGTCTTTGTGTGGCATGTTTTCGTGTCTCTGGGGAACGTGCCGGGGAGTGGCGCTGGCGGCTCACACGGCGACTGCGGTGGGAAGGAGCTGATGGGCAGGGTGGCCGGGCCCGCCTCCGAGCCCCTGGCTTCCCAGGCTGGGGGCGCCAGTCCGCGCGCAGACAGTGGCGTGCGCTGTGGTCCTCGGTGCAATGCAGAGCCCTGGGGAGAAAGGGCTGCTCGTGCCTGCGTGGGACAGCCTTGCCTCTGTGAAGAAGAGCAGCGTTCGGTGTGTTTAAAAACGTTCACTTTCCCTCCCCTGACCAGAGCCAGGGGGTTTCCCAGACCTTGGCCATGAGAACCCAGTGTAGTCCCTGGACATAAAATGCAAGAAAGTTCTTGATCTCTTAAACTAGCGTCAAAGCCACCCTCTAGCCACGAGCTGCAGCACCGTGAGGGTCCCCGCGGTGGCCCGACCGTGGCCGGCAGTGCCCCTGGACCTGCCAGTCTTCCATCTGGGGGTGGCAGTCTGTGTCGCATCTTCAGTTCTGAGAGGACCAGGGACTGTTGTTTTCATGTTGTCTTTTTTTTCGGGTGGGGTGAGGATGGGGGTATGACTTTCAAGTTCTTGTCACATTGGACCAGAAACTGGATGTCCCTGACATTGTGCTTGTTAAGAGATCTATCATGTCTTCCATCCCTCCCTCTCTGCTTTACAAATAGCGACAGTTTCACGTCTTCCCTTCCCATGGGACATCCTTTGTTTCTTCTTTCTGTCCAATTGCTGAGGCTGGGACTCCCAGGGCCACTGGGGACAGAGGCGGTGGCGGCGGCGGGCCTCCTGGTCCTGTTCCTGGTCTCAGAGGAAAGGCTGGCGGCTTCTTGCCACCGAGGACCGTGCTGGTTGTGGGCTTGTCTTCGGTGGCCTTTGTTAGGCTGAGAGAGGTCCCCTCTGTTCCCACTTGGGTGAGAGTTTTTTATCATAAACGATGTTGAATTTTGTCAAGTGTGCCTTCTGCCTCTATTGAGATAATCATTTGGTTTTTCTCCGTGGCTTCTGTGACAGATCAGTGTAATCACTTTGAGGGTGTTGGGTACCTTGCACCCTTGGTATGAACCGTGCTTGATTATGGTATGGTGTGTGACCCTTTCAACATGCTGTTGAATTCGTTTTGCTAGTATTAATATTCTGTTGAGCATTTTGGCAGGAAATGGGCAACCAGGCGTGTTTTGGATTGCTTATTGATTTTTAAAAATATACATTCTTGAAATAAATTAAGTCGGATTCATATTCCCAATTACTTTTTGTGAACATACATAATTAAGTAATTAAGGGAAATGTATTATAATGGTTAGTAAATTGTTCACTAAAAAAATTTAAAATTAAATATTTTGTGTAAATAATGACTGCATCAAATTTCAGGCCACTGCCCAGGTACGCAAAAATACTAGACCCACTGAATGAAACCAGTGGGAATATCTGCCTAGGATGCTAGAGATTTCCCTCAAAACCAGCTAAAATTATTTCAAGGCTCTCAAAGTGGCCCTTTAATGCTCACAGCTTGGAGGCGGTGATAGTTTTCTTACTGGGCACAGGCAGATTTGAAAATTTTTGCACTTTTTTCTCTGCAGATAAAATTGATGGATTTAATGATATAATGCTGACCTATTATGTAAACGACAGCATCAGAGTTGCAATTTTTATATCAGTGATCTTCCTTACAGTCAGAGCCATTTCATTTCACCTTAAAAAAAATACACGGTTATGAGAACACTCTAGTTATGTGAATAGAGTAAGAAAATACTTTGATGCCTGAAACATGCCTAACGACAGTACGTATCTTTTCCTAGGTGGTTTCCATGTAGACGGATTCTACGTTTTTGTCATGGGTCAGTGCTTTCTCGTCTGAGACAACGACGTGGGCCTTCTGAGGGAGGAGCGCGGGCTGTGAGACACTGCGGAGCCCGCGTGGCCCAACTGCGGGCCTGCACCACGCACTGGTCTCCTGTTACCCTGGGCTGGAAGGTCCAGGTTAATCACGGAAGCAGCACACAGGAGAATAAAACTCAGGAAGTTATTTCAGGGTAGAACTAGCCTCAAAAAGCAAATGCCTATGAGTAAGCTGCTAAAAATATAATCTGTAATTAAATCAGCACCTCTCTTTTCTGAATGCACTTATCTGGCTCTACCTGATACTGTATTCTAATGAATTTAATAGGGAGAGGTGAAAAATTCATTAAGGAGATGCAGAATGCAGTTTTTTCCCAAATACTGTTCTATTTCAATCTTAGACTCCACCTACAGCAAACCTCGGCACTGGCGCCCTCGCACGTGAGCAGGCTCAGGGCAGTCACGCTGGGAGTGTCACTTTGCCTGTGCCTTTGCTCAGGGGGCTGCGTGCCGCCGGTGCTGCGGGCAGGACGCACCGCGCTGCCGCCTCCCGAGCACACAGCGGCTGCCCGCGGCTCAGCGCGCACAGCTGGCGTTCGAAGACGGGGGACACTGAACGCAGCGAGGTCCTTGCGAGTGAGGCTTGGGGGGTGAGAGGGAGGACAGCCATGGTATTACAGAGAGGTGATGGGATTCTTTAGAAAATCGGATTTCTTCGCAACAAATGTACTTGCGTAGTAGGCAGGGCTGGTTGAATTATTTATAACGACTTGTGGATGACAACACATTTGCTAGCAAACACCCCCCCAACCCCCGCGCTGTTCCCAAAGCTGTTACGTAGCACTTCTTCCTTTAGTGTTGGGATCTATATTGACTGGAATATTACACTAGAAATCAGTGTGTAAATAGAATTTCATGAGGCAAATCTTCTCTTCTTGGCACTGTAATTTCTAATTTTCTTTCTCTGGTTTTCCAGAATATGTCTTTGACTCATTTACATCTGTGCAGATGGGATTTCTAATGGCTGAACAGATGAATAATTTGTGAACTTTTCTTTGCGTTTCTCAGACTTTCTGCATACTTTGTAATCCATTCATTCACTCAATCATTCAATTTTTGTAATTATATAAAAAGAATGCATGGGTTACTGCTCAGAGCTATTCCATCCCTCCCCCCTTCCCCCCTTCCCAGTTCACTAGCTAAGTGCCCCACCCCCCCAACCTGTCGCCATGGCTGACCCTGTCGGATCTTTAGTTGACTTGAGGGTACGCTGAGAGGAAGATTCCCCTGGCAGACATTCATTCTTTCAGAGAAATACAACATCGTGGCTCTTCCAGGGCATTACAACGCTTTCCATTTTCGTTTGTTATCAATTTATGTTTTTTGACACCAAAGTATGCTGAGTAACCTTTGCTCAAGCTAAAGAAAGATAACACCGGCTACTCCTGGAATTCTTCTGTATGGTTTAACATGTCTCTCAATTAAAACGTAAAGAAGTAACTGCTCCAACTGCCTATGTCCATCCGTCCGTTACGCTCCCTTCAGTAACCCTGTCCGAAAGCTCTGACTGTGACCCCTGCCGGCTCCTCCCGGCCCTTCGCCGCGGCCCGTCCTACGGCGCGCTCCCGAGCGGAGGCAGAGCCCGGACTGAGGGCCAAGTGCGTGCAGTTCGCTGGGAAGGAGACTCCCTCTGGCATATTCATGCCAGACCGTCACAAATATAAAATAAGAATGGCCACACAAGGAGCTTGTCCTTATTTTCTGGGCCCATGAAAACAGAGAATAAAAGCAACCCTGCCTGTACCTCTTCTCGGCCAGGACCCCAGGCGTCTCTAGGCAGGGCATTAACGCACGCGGGCCCCTGGGTTTGGGAACTGAAACGGCCACCCTGGGGTTCGCTGCGGGAGCCGCCTGTCGAAAGCACATTCCTTTGCTCAGTCTTATTTCCTTTTTGTCATGATTGCATTTCCCTTTATTATTTATTCAAAAGCATAACTAGATTTTTTCTTTATGATCATATATCAAAACCACCTCTGTGTAATATTCCTTCTTCTATTCCACTAGGAAAAAACTGGGATTAGTTTAGGCTGTGGACTGGATTCCCAATTTCACTTCTGCTTCCACCATGAGCTTTGTTAACTGAGTTACCACTTCACAATTTGATCACGGTAACTCCAGTAATTTCTCTCAATCCCTGTCACTTCAACTGAAAAACAGGACAATGATTCGGCTCCTTCGTGATAGGATACACGAGGAACTAATACGAATGTATGTGTCACGAGGGCCTTATGCCACCTGCCGAGGTCAGTCTACAGAAAGACTAAGTCTAATACGGAAAGGGAAGGCTCGGCCAAAGGGCGTGAAAGCGGAGCGACTTTCGCCCCCGCGGGCCTGTCAGCGCAGCGCCGGCCCCGGCCTTACCTGACCCGTTCTTCAGGTGCCCATTCGCGTCCACGGTCGTGTACATGACGTAAGGTCCCGGCTGGTTCACGCCGAAGGGCTGCAGCGGGAAGGGGAGAGTCAGGCTTCGAGAGTGAGCGAGCCACTTCCTGGGGCATTTCTAAGATCGAACGTTCTCTGTACACAGGGTAAATATTTTAGGCAGTTTTCCCCAGAGAGTCGTCCCCATTGGGCGGCCCAGCAGCTCCCGGAAAAGTGTCCCTCTCAGTGTGTTGTCCTTCCCAGACTGAGAGCTTGATCTGCGGGAGCAGCCCCATCAAACCGGCCCGTTTGTGAAAAACCACCTGTCGCAACTGTTTACGCTGAAGCTGCCTGAGGCTGTGCTGTCACTTTGGGCTACTGAGTGGGTGGCCAAATGTTCAAAGGAAAGACGCAACCGAGCTGCTCAAAGCGGGGTTTTGAGAAGCGCTGACACGTGCCCCCAGGCTCTCGCAGGCCACGGCCTATGCCAGGGCATCCTCAGAGGCCTGAGGCGGCCCCAACCGCCCCTCTGCTGTCACCTCGGAGGCCTCTCCAGCCACCACTGCCCCTGGGCTGAGCAGACACCCCAGGGCTGCCCCCAGCAGACCCACGGCCGCCGCCCAGGAAGGCTACCAACGAACAGCAGCACCAACCACCTCCATCGACAAAGCCGGTGTTCACAGTTTGAGACTGTATTTCCCTGAAACGTCCCGTTAGACAGCAAGTCAATATTAAGACTATTCAAAAACTGACTGAAAAGTTCATAAGCTTGACCCTGTGCTAGGGACCAAGAACACAAAGATGACAGGTTCTTGACCTCGAGGGACCGCAGTCCCGTGTGGTGAGGCCTTAAAGGCAGACGGTAAGCCTGACCGAGCATTACGGGTCCTCGAGGGGCGGTGGTACGCCTGGATGTCACAGGCGGTGGTCACTTCTCCAAGGACACGAGACGAGGCTCAAGGGGGTGACCCCTGAGGTGGCCCTGAAGTGCGTGAGAAAAGCTGCTTCGTTCCCAGTGAATTTTCTTGAGCACTGACGGGGGCTTTCATCGCTTCCTGAGAGCGATGACTTGAGTGTGACCTCTGTGCCCACGAGCCTTTACTTACTGTGATCTTACGAGGACAGTCGTTAGAGCAGAGACCGCTAAGAACTGTGGGGACACAGAAAAAAGGTGGTTCAGTATCACCGACACAATCTCAACTTGCATTTAAACTCCTAGTGTTTCACCTACAGCCTATTAATTTGCTCTTTTGGTTCATGATCACAAACAGAAACCAATTAAATTTCTTTAGATCTGAGTAAATTGAATTTCTGTTGTTCACTTTATACCACTATTTCAAAAGCCTGGACGAAGCGGTCTGGAAGCCGACAGACAGGCGGGCTTACTGCGGCCGCGCCAGCCTGTCCCTCCTGCTGGCTTCCCTCTCCACTGGGTTAGCTCTGTTTCAAGGGTGGCCAGAGTCTAACCAAAGTGCCAAACGCAAGCCAACTACAATGTACACTGAGAAAAACAAACAGAACATTTAGTACTTTCTATCTCAAACTGGACTTTCCCCATTTGTATGGTCAAAGTTCCAGCCACAGAGTTTGGGCACATTTGGTAACTATTAAGGAGGCCATAACCATAAAATAATTGATGGTTTACATTAGATACAATGTGAAAAAATAGTGAAATAAGTGTCTAACACTTGCAAAACAGCTTTTGAGGTTTAAGTTTTGTATCCCAGGACAGTAACTGGTTCTCACTTTCATTCTTAAGGTTTTTGGGGTTTGTTTGTTTATCTTCCCTTAACTCTAGGCAGACATTATTATTTCTTTTCCATTTGTACCAAAATAACTTTCATAAACCTTCATTTAAACCATTATTTTGCTGAACAGTAATTATTTGCTCACAAGTCTGTGTTTGTAACTAGTATGTACGCTCTGCATCATTTTTATCATTTTCTCAGGGCCTAAGCCAACGTACTTGCTTAATAAATACTTGCTAAAGCAGGAAAAAGATGGATTATTCAATAAGTGGTACAGGGTAATTGGCTCCTTGGAGGAAAATGAGGTTAGACTTTAACTCATAACATAAAAATCACATTTGGCAATGACCCATATAATACAAAGAACTCTTATACTTCAATAATAAAAAGACAATCAATTAAAAATGGGCAAAAGATCTGGACAGGCATTTTTCCAAAGAAAATAAAGAGATAAAGCTCATGAAAAGATGAGCAACATCATTAGCGATCAGGACAATTCAAGCCAAAACCACATGGAACGTCGCTCTTCACATTATCTGAGAGGTGGGAGCAACCCACATACACGTCCATCCACCGAGGGTTAAACAAAATGCGGCCCGTAGGCACCGTGAAGCATTGTTCAGCTTGACAAAGGAAAGCAACCCGTCAGGCGCTACACCTCCGAACCCCGACGGCACAGCGTGGAGTGAAAGAAGCCGGTTGCGAAAGCACAGAGACCGGATCAATCCCAGCCTCTGTGAGGGACCCAGAGAAGCCACTCGTAGAAGGCAGAACGGTGGTCACCAGGGGTAAAATCGGAGACATAGCATTATTTCTGGGTTTTGACTTAAAGCTGCGGTGTGCCCAGCGCTTAAGCAAAACCCTTCTGCGCACCTGTGGTACGTGGGACTCTGCGCGTGACTGTGCCTTCACGCGAGCTCCCTCCCCCTCACGCTGAGGCGGGAGGTCCAGGGGCCCCGCCCCGCCCCCGTCTCCCAGAAGAGGAAGCGGAAGGTTGGGCCAGTACCTCACTCAAGGCCGCAAAGCAGACGGAGTTCTTCTGAAAGACCACGTGGCCACTAGGCCCGAACTCATTTAAAAAACACATTATCCTACTTTTATGGGAGATGGGAAATCGATGAACCATGGGATTATTTTATTTTCTGTACAAGGCAAAATGTCTGTGTCTTGTTTAGCATAGTTGAGAATGTTTACTCAAAATTACATAATAGTCTCTTTCATTTTGTATATAGCAGGCAAAAATGGGCATTTTGTATCTAGTTCTGATTTTTACAAGATTTCCTCTGTCAAATTTGAAGTATCATACGATAGGATCAAAATAAGATTTAAATGTATCATACCTATGTATGTATCATACATATGTCATGGATATATATTACACAGATGTCTTTTAAAAAGAGAGCTAATTAATACAAATAGAATACCCATTTCCTTGGTTTTTGCAAGATTCAAGAAGGAATGATGCTAATGCTTGAGCCTAATTAATACTCCTGTTGATAATATTGTTGAATTCGGAATTCAGAACTCCCAACACTGTTGCGCAGGCTCAGCTGCTGTCAGCGCGCAGTAAGCCTTTCCCCGGCAGGGGCGCCGCACGCGCCCCGCGGCGGCGCAGGGCAGGGGGCGGGGGCATGTTTCACACGGGGCAGGAAAAGCCTGTGGCTGCTCCTGGAGAGGGGAGGTTCACTTTTCACTTTCAGCTTCGTCTGGATCCTGGAATCCCTCTGTGTCCTGCTCTTCGGTTTCCCACCGAAAAGGAAAGGGGACCCACCCACCGTGGGCCACACTTCTTGCTGCCTGCCTCCCCGAGGCGCTAAGCTCAGAAGTCCTGCAGCGGGCCGCCTCATTTTTGTCATCAGAAAACAAAACAAAATAAATGCCAAGCCAAAGCTTTAACAATAAAAAAGGAATGATGTTTGAAAATTCTCTCGCATAACCCAAAACATAAAGTGGTGGCCTCTTACGGCATTTGTACAAATGTCACCTGCGATTACAGCTTTAAGACTCCATGAAGTCCACCTTATGAACAAATAAGAGGTGCCAGTAGTCTATCTAATCGGGACAAGAGCCTAATTTCTCCAGGGATCAGAATAAAACCACTTCCGTCGTTTGTGAAACCGTCAGAAAAACGCCTCACTACCGAGCGCCCCGAGGGGGACTGTGTCACTGTCGTGACGACAGCAGCAGAAGCCGCACCGGGCCGCGCCCCCAGCAGCGGGCAGCCACCGCACGCGGCTGCAGGGAACCGGACGGTCCTCCTCGGTGGCGCCCACCGCGGGGGCAGGCAGACCAGCGGATCCGAGCCCTGCACGGCGCCGGCCGCCCCCGCGAGCTTCCCCAGCGCAGGGCTGTTTCTGTCTGGTCCACAAGTCTCTCTCTCTCTGTGTCTCATGACAAATGTTAACAAATGTCTCCCTCCCGGCTGGCTGACACGGGCTGAACTGTCGTCTCATCTGTAGACGGTTAAGGCTTTATCCATTTCATTCACTTTTGTACCTTATTAGTATTTGTAGTATTGAAAAGTTCATGCAGATCTATTACAACATTTTATAACACTCTTTCAAATAAACTGGTCTAAGAAGTAATTTCTAATACTCCAGAATTTTAAAACCAAAGCTGTTTTAGAAAGATTAATGAAATATAAAAACATAGGTTATTCAGAGTTAAATGAAAAACTCTAATTAAAATAATTAATGAGCTATGTGAATTACTGGTTATTAGCAGATTAAATTAGTTTAAAACTTGACTAATGGGATGTGCAATTCATTAGTTTTCATTAAAGTGACAATGCTTAGGATATGACCATTTCATGTGAAAACTATACGTCATGGCCTAGATATTCTTCAAGGTATTTAAAGTATAAAACCTTGCCTTCTAGCTTTGTGATTCAGTTGGCTATGTAACAGCAATAATCACACATAAACCCGGCCGGCCGAGGGGGGAGGGGAAGGAGGGAGCAGAGCCCTCGGCCCGCGAGGCGGGTCCTATGCGCGGCATCAGCAGCGCCCCCACCGGGGTTCCTGGTGACGGGTCCTGTCGTTCTCTGAAAGTGCCTCTTAGTTCCTCTAAGACACGTGGCTACAAAGTCAGCATCTCGCTCAACTGTCCTGTGTGAAGTGGAGGCTGCCCCTGCAGCCATTATTGTCATTTAGACGTTACTGTAGATGTGATATGGGAACGTTTTAGCTTGTTATTGATTATCTTTCCTTCATTGTATTTTATAGTTTTTGGTTGTAGAATCATGAGCTCATCGTAAAAAGCTTATATACAGAAACATACAGGTAAAAAGCGGATCATCTCTCAAGGGATCCGACCCTGTTCCCCGCGGGGACCAGCCAGACGCCCGCCCGTGCTGCGTGCACGCCCTGCCCTGCTGTGCAAGGCGAGTGCGAGGTGGTGTGGCGGCTCTTCCGGCCCCGGAGAGCTCGCCCCTCAGGCGTCTCCTGCGGGCGGGCGGGCGGGCTGAGGCCCCCGGGGCGGGTAAGGCAGGGCCGGGGAGCGGCACGCGACTGCTGTGGCTCAGCGCCAGGCGTCACCTCTGCGCTACCTGGGGGCCGGGCCGCCGTCTGGCTCCAATGCGCCCTCCCCTGCAGAGGGGCTGCCGCGGTGAGGGGGGCCGTGGGCAGCGGGACTGTGTGTGACCCAGGGTCACTGCCGCCACAGTTACCTACCTGCACTGGTTCTTCTTAGAAGAGCAAAGAAAAACCCTCAGACACACCAAGAAAAACAAGAGCTAAAAGATGACGACCAAAGCGAGCCGCCACAGGACTGGCCCCGTCAAATGGGCACCGCACAGGCCGCGGGGCGGGGGTCACAGACAAGGGTAAGGTGGCGCCACGCGCAGGGACCCTGTGCCAGCCCCACCCGCTGTCCGCCTCCCTGTGAGCAGCCGAGTGGGGGCTGCACCAGAGGGACAGGAGTGTGGGAGGGGACAGAACTGGTGCCGAGTGAAAAGCGGGCAGAGCCTGTCCCAGTCGTCACGGGTGACCTGCCTGTGAGTCGCTAGGAAAGGGTGTGTACACGAGAAGGCACGAAAGGTGAGGTAAAATTAACCACAGAGAAATAAACGTCCACATTATTTCCGCAGGATCTGAAAGAGACAGGGCAATAAAAGCTTTCTAAAGGGCTCATTTTATTTGGGAAGCAAAAGGAAAATACTGGCCCCATTTTAAGAGCGCCCAGAAAGCACAGGTTCCTGTGTGTCTGCTGGAGGCCCGAGGTGCATGCTCGTAGAACAGGGCCAGACAGAGCCTCCAAGGGCAGCTGAAGAGAGAAACACCCTGGAGTTGAGAGACGTGACTCAGGGCCGCTAAGGAACTTGATCCTGCAATACTTGGGCCCTGTCTTTACGCAGGCGCTGGGGCGCGATCTGTGGCCTCTGGTGCCGGGGGAGCCCGCCGGGGACGAGGCCGAGGACAGCTCTACCCGAGTGCCCGAAAGCCAGTGCTGCTCAGCACAGCAGGAGCCGCGCTGGCGCGACAGCGGTTGTACAGCGCAGCCCACCCCGGGCGCTGTCGACGCCGGAGAGGGCACTGCGCACCGGCAGCTGCGTGTGTGCAGGCGGCCGCCAGTGACGGAAGGGAAGCACAGGAGGGCACCTCAAAGCAGCAAGGAGGTTATTTCCCCCACACGATCGCTTTAAATCGGCATCTCATTTCCCCTGACCTTTCTGTAAAGCACGTTATTAATATTTATGTTAACAGCATTAATGCAAAGCTGCCTTGTTTTCTACAACTAAAGCCTCCTGCACCGAGGAGGCCGTTCCCGGCTCTGAGCCGGTAAGCGGAGAAGCCCCCCAGGCTGCCGCTGCCCAGCGGGCAGGGCTGCCCGTGGCCCCCGTCCCGGCCTGGGTGACAAACGATGGCCGCTGGAGTCTCCAGAGACGCTCCGGTTTTAAAAATTCTGTATGTGGCATTTTTCAAACACACAACTTAGACCAGTACAAGGAACCCCGCTGACACATCACAGAGCTTCCGCTGACCATCCCACGTGGCCGGCCACGCTTGCCTGCCATCACTTCCTACCCTGGGACCCTTTGGGGACCGACCTCGGACACGGCCTTTCTCTTTCGAGGGGTTTGATATCTCACTGCTTAAATCTCCGGAGAACCTGACCTTGTCTCAAGTGGGACCGCGATGTGGCCATAGGACCTCGGTCACTGCAGTCCTGATGTGTGTCAGGTGGCAGAAGCAGCCAGCACGGCGGGAACGGGAGGGCGGTAAACACAGATAAGGAAATCCGTTGCAGAAAATGGGAGCCGCGGGTCTCACCGCTGCCGGAGGCATCGGCTCACAGAAGGACGCAAAGGGGCCTTGGAACGTGCTGGCTCAGGGATGGCTGTCGCAGCGTGAGTCCGCGGTCGGATACACAAGACTCTCAGACAGAGGTGCGGCGGGGCACGTCTGAGTGCGGCGGGGCCGGGAAGCCGCGCCTGGGCTTCCGGGCTCTGTCTGCTGAGAGCCTGGCAGGAACGACAGCCCCGCAGAGGCCAGCACTCTGAGGACCCAGGACTTGGCTTCCAAAGACCACCCCCCATGAGGGGGACTGGGGCTCCTGGGAGAGAGAGGGGGTTCTAGGCCCAGAGCACGGGAGGCGCACGGTGGGTCTGTAGCACCTGCTCACACACGTGCCAGAGGGGCGGAAGGGACATGTCACCTGAAGGCATGCCTTCCTGCTGCCCCACTGGGAACAGGAACATGAGAAGAAATGATTTTGTTTATCAGGTAAAACACATACAGATCTATGCTGATACACGAATATATAAACAGAAGAGGCGATAAAGGCCTTCCTTAGGGAGAGTGCCAACTAACAAGTGCAGAAGGAATGTGGCAGATAGAGAACCGCCCTTGACCGCCATCGGGCAGAAGGCCGATGCAGGCAGGCGTCGCCAGCGGGCTCTGGCCAGAGGCTTGATGAGGACGAGGATGTTGAAGCAACACTGAGTCCCTCTCCACCATGTGCTAATCAATCACAAGGCGGGGACAGTGGGTTTAAGGTAGAAGCTGGTCATCAAGATAGCCAGATAGTCAAGGTCAAGGTCAACATGGTGGCATGAGCCAACTCACAAGCTTCCCGGTGTGAGGCCTGAGGGGCGCGCGGCGCTGCCGCGCACTGGGTGCCCACAGAGGCCTGCAAAGTGACACGGAGCAGGGGCCCCGGACGGCGCCTTGGCCAGAGGGAAACGCGTCCCTGTCGGAATGGGGCCTGTGCCCAGGACGGCGGTGCTGTACCGCTGCTGGCTCCTGACCTGCAGAGCTGCCTGTGGGTTGCCTAGGAGTGTGTCCTTGCTTTGGAAAATTTGCGTTGACAGAATACAAAATGAAATGCTAACACTCAATAAGAAGACACATAAATCAAACACTCACCGATGACTTTAACAAAATAAGCATCTGCTTCAAAGTTATTTTTTAAAGCGTGGATGGCAAAGTCGTTCTTTGTGTATCCTTTACTGAGCACTATGATGTCCAAGATTCCCTGGGAAAACAGAAGCAGAGCGGTGAGAGCCGACCACCCGCCTGCCCGAGAGACGGAGATGCAGCGCGTGCTTATCACGCGAACGGAGACCTTGCTCATGTGACTTGGTGTCTGAAATAAAAGTACTATTAAAAAGATAAAAAACCTTGAATAGCAAAATACAAATAAAATGAAAAACGGTAATTTTAATCTCTGGAGAGATTTTGGTATATTCCCTTCCTGTCATAGTGCATGAATTTTTAAAGGCCCAAGATACAGACTTCCAAACCATTTCCAAACCCGGAGAAAAAGAGCTCCCTTTATCGGCCCTGGCTGCCGCTGCCCGCGGTCACTGTCTCCCCCAAGAACGGGGGAGCTTTGCTAACGCCATCGGAGGGGAGGGTGCGTACACCTAGGTCTCCACGCTGCTAGCTTGTAATGAGGCTGATCGTCTGCCACCTTTTCTGTGTGAGCCACTTGGGTTTTCTTCTGTACACTGGCCGTGTCTGTTTCTCGAGAGGGAGTTTCTGGTGACTTGCATCCATTTATATAAACCCTTCTTATATTAAGAATATTCATTATTTGATTCTTTCATAACAAATTTACTTCCCAGATTTAAAAACAATTTTAAATTTCATTCATTTAAATTTCATTTAGGATGTTTTTTATGTATGGAAATTAAAAATTGATTAGTAGTCAATTCCCTTGGGATGTTTTTGCCAGTTACTTTTATGCCTGAAAATGGCTAATAAAAGTGAAACAGAATGAGGTTTGATAGCAGAGACAGGAAAACAAGGACCTCGATAATTGTATAATTGAGAATCAGCAGCTTATAAAAAAATAAAGCACAAATGGCGTTGGGAGAGACATAAAGGTCCTCGTGGGCATTTAACTTTTTAAAATAATTGAGATATTTAACAGGGGATCCTGTGTTGCATGAACTCTGGAGTTTAACATGTTCGTACCAGAGCTCGTCACTCTTCTGAGTGGCAAACCGGTGTTCCACCCCCGACAGGAGGAAATGAGGCCGAGAGGCAGACCCGGCCACTGGAGATAGAGGCACAGGGGTCCGCGGCATCGGGCGCTGCCTCGGGCGCTGCCTCTGGCTCACAAAGCGGAGCCAGAGACCGGAGTCACCCTCCGTGACCTTGTGCAAGGATCTGCTGGCTGTGCCTCCGTCTCCTGGGGTCCTGCACACCTGCCAGCTCCGGGGCCCGGGGCTCCAGCGGCTCGCGCGAGCCCCGTGGAGATGGAGGCCTTTTCCTGCCTTGCTGCGCTTACCAGCCAGGCGGCAGATTTGTCTCTGCTGCTGCCTGACGCCGGAAGGGGCTTTCTTCAACGAATGCGTTTGCTTTTGTGGCCTCACCTACATTTTCTGGTCCAACCAGGTGAGAGGGGTGAGACTGGAGGCGGGGGACACACAATTAAACTCCACCCACAGGAGAGCCCAGAACTCACATCTTCATAAATGTCAAAGAAGGTGGCGACCACGGCATCGCGGACTTGATTGAGGTCCATCAGCTCCCAATAGACCTTAAACATGCGACGCGCCCCCTCACAGCTGGCGTTGTTACAGGGGACGTTCTCCAGGAGAAAGGCCTGCTGATTGCTGCGGGACAGAGGACAGGCGTGCGGTTAATGTGACGCATCCATGCGCAGCGCGCTAACTGCAGTTAACAACACTGTGTGGCGTGCTTGGAACCACTCTGAGAGTAGGGCTTTAATGTTCTTACCATAACAACAAAATCAAGAAAACAGTAATTATGTGAGCTGAAGAATGTAACCTTAACATAGTAATAAACATTTTGCTATGCCCAGTGGTAGAACTCATGACATTGTACACACAATGTCCTGTCAATTATATCTCATGAGACTGGAACAAAATCGTAACAGAGATATATGGAGTATCCCCAAAGATGTGGAAATTAAAGGAAAGACCACTTAATAATCTGTGAGTAAGAAAAGGAATCCAAAAGGAAGATTATAAGGACTTTGAACTGAGTGAAAATGAAGTTGTTCCACATCAGGACTGGTGGTATGTCATTAACGTAGCATTTAGAGGGAAATTTACAGCACTCAAAACTTTACTAAAAAAGAAGGAAGGTCTCACAGCAGTGGCCTCAGTTTCTTCCTTAAAATACTGGGAACAGAGAAGCCAATAAAATATGAAACAAGCAGGAGGAAGGAAATAATAACACAGAGGAAAGCAATAAAGTAGAAAACAGAAGAACAATATAGAAAATCAATAAAACAAAGGCTGGTTCTTTGTGAAAAACAATTTTAAAATTGATGAACCTTTACCCAGAATGGTTCTTAAAAGCATTACAAAGAGAGAAAACACAAAGTGAAAATATCAGGAATGAGAGAGGTAACATCACTACAGATTTTACTGACATTAAAAGAATAATAAGGGAATGTTACCAAAATCTTTGTGCCAATATAATTAACAAGCTATATGAAACAAATTCCTTGGAAGTCAAAAACTACCAAAGCTCACCCAAGAAGAAATAGATAAACTGAAATTGTACTTTCAGACCTTATTAAAAACACCCAAAACTCCAGGCCCAGATGGCTTCATTGAGGAATTCTACCATGTATTCGGAGAGGAAATAACATTCTACACAACCTCTTCAGAAAACAGATGCAGAAGAAATACATCCCACCGCCTTGTATGAAGCTGCACTGCACGTCGAAATTAGATATTACAAGAAAACTACAGACCAATATTCCTCATCAACACAGATGTAAAAATTTTAACAAAAATCTAGTAAATCAAACCCAGCGATAAATAAGAATTTGCTTTGCACAGCAGTATTCACTAAAACTCGCACAATTTGGAACCACGCCCCTGCTTCCCAGTTGGCAGGGAACCACGCAGAGGGGCCGGTTCTGAAATGGGCGTGTTTCAGGGGCGCGGTACACTGCCACGCGGAGGCTGCAGGCACTTAAAAAAGGTAGAAATCATCACCAACCTGGGTTTGCTGCAGGGAGGCAACGTTGCTTTAAAATTTTAAAATGAGCATAAGTTTCTAGATGAATCAACTAAAGAGGAAAACTACATGATCACGTTGATAAAGGTAGAAAAAATATTTGACGAAATCAAACATCCATTTCTGACCCAAACTCTGAGCAAACTAGGAATAGAAGGAACTTCCTCGCATGGTTCAGGGCACCTACAGAAAACCCGCAGAGAAGCCTGTGCTCGCAGCGGGACCAAGGTCTCCCTCCTAAGACCCTCGTGCCCCCAGGCCGGGACGGCCGCCCACAAGGCCTCCGCTCCACGTTGTACGGCAGGTGCCTGCCACGGTACAGTGGCAAGGGACGCAAAAGGCACCGAGACTGGAAAGAAGAAGTAAATTGCTTTTATTCACAAATTATTTGAAATCCTGGAATATCCCCCAAATACTGCTAGGATGATTACGTTGAGCCAGGTGGCAGGGCACAAGATCGATATACAGCAGTCAATTGGATTGCTACATACTAGCAACCAATGATCAGAAATTGAAATAAAAAAGTGCCAGTGATAATAGCATCATAAACAAAATACTTAGGCATCTCGTAAAAGATGTACAAGACTATACATTGAAAACTCTAACATGCTGCTGAGGAAAATTAAAGACCTAGAATAAAAGGACACGCGCACACACACACTTAACGGGTCAGAAGACTCAATATTGTTAAGGTGTCAATAAGCCCCATATGGATTTACAGATTCAATGCAATATCCATCAAAATCTTGGTCCTGTTTTGGCAGAAACTGAGAAACATACCCTAAACCTCACAGAAAATGCCAAACCCAAAACTGACAAAACACTGGGAAAGGGTGAGCTGGGGGACTTGCACTGTCCGCGCTCACCCCTCCCTGCGGGCCAACAGCCGCTGCGGGGCGGGGCGGGCAGGGCGCGCCAGAGCCGGTGGGAGGGAGGAACCGGCCCGCGGAGAGGCAGAGCTGATCCTCACCAAACATCAAAGGCCGCTGAGCGGAAAAAGGCAGCCTTTCAACCCACGGCGCTGGAACAATTTTCCGGAGAAGGCACTAGGGTCTGTACCTTGCACCATATAGAAATATTGACTCAAAATGGATCACAGACCCAAATGCAGAATGTAGAACTACAAAGATTCCAGGAGAAAGCACAGAAGGTAATCTTTGTGATTTAATTAGGTAGAGATTTCTTAGCTATAACACTGAAAGAAAACTGATAAACTGGGCTTTTTCAAAATTAAGCACTTCTCTCTAAATAAAGACACTGTTCAGAGAATGGAAAGACAAGTCAGAGATCAGAAAAAATACGTGCAAACAACATAGCTAATAAAGGATTTGTATACAGAGAAGTTTCACAACTCAACAATAAGAAAACAAATGTCCCAAATAAAATGTGGACAAAAGAACGGACTCTCCGTCTACAAAGATGTATGGAAGACCGATGATCCCATTACTAGATGGTCAGAAATCATCAGTTGTTAGACAAATTGATATTAAAACCACACGCAGATAAACTACAAACAGAATGGCTAACGTTAAAAAAGACTGACCACAGCAACGCCTAGGAAAATGTAAAGGAACTGGACCGGTTTGGCGTTTTCTTAGGAAGTTAACCATGTACCTCCCAAAAGACCCAGCCATCCCTCCCGCGGGGCTGGCCCAAGAGCAGCTAACGGCTTCGGCACAAACAGCGACTTTTACAGGAATGTGCGGAGCTGATTATTCGCAGTAACAAGACATAATAAAAACCCAAATGCCCATCAATGTGTGAATGGATATATCTGTACAATGAAAGACTCCTCAGCTACAGTAAGCAATGGACTAACGATACATATAAAAATGTGGATGAATCTCAATATTATCACACTGAGTGAAAGAACCCACGCATAAAAGGGCATCTACTGAGTGATTATTTACACAAAACAGTAGGAAACAACCTATCTTCTGGGACAGGAGGCGGATCAGGGTAGCCAATAAGGTGAAGCAGGGGAAGGCGGGGAAGGCAGGTGGCCAAGGGGTAACAGGAAATTTCTGTGGTGGTGGGCACGTTCCTTTCTTTGACTGTAACAGAATTTTTAGAGCTACATGTGTACGTAAGACCTTGCCAACATACGCTCTTTAAAGATGCGCACTTTACTCTGCCAATTAAACCTCAATAAAGCTGTTAAAAACACGGCGCCCCTTTGTGAGAAAAAGCAAAAACACATGCCACAAAAGAAAAAATTAGGCTGATATCTACACAATGAAAAACATTTGTGCTTCAAAGGACACCACTGAGAGGACCTGCAGAATGGGAGAAAAGTTTTGCAAATCACATATATGACAAGGGATTTGTATCTAGAATATGTAGAAATTCTTACAACGCAATAATAGAAAAACAAGTAAGTAAATTACAAACATGGGCAAAGGGTACGGACAGACAATTACCCGAGGAAGGTACACCACGGGCCACTGAGCCCATAGAGGGTACGGAGAAGCGCCGGCTCCGCGTACACAGCTTGGGGTACAGAAGGGGCCGCCGCCCTGGGGAGCCGGCTGGTCCCGTCCTGGGAGGGTCTCCTCCCAGGTGCACATCAAGGAAAATAAACACACGTCCACACAAAAACTCATCTATGAGGATTCACAGCAATACCATTCGTCGGTACAGCCAGCGCCTTGCCTCTCGAGCCTGGCTTTAATTGCTCTTCAGAGGCCCCGTGAAGGCGCGCTGTTCCTCACACGCACACCGCTGACCAAGGTGGGGTTGGCCTGGGTTGCCAGTGAGCCGCTGGCACCTGTCCTCTTCCCCGTTAAGGAAGGGGCTGACGGACCTCTGCACGTGAGGTGCGAGTCTCCCCGGCTGCTCCCAGAGCCGGCCGCGTGTCCACCTCCGTCGCGCCGCCTCGTCCACCTTGTCCTTGACGCTCTTCCTCCTACTGCCCCCGCGCCGCTGTCGGCGGAGCCCACACGGGAGGAAGAGAGCTGTGACGTGGGCGCTTGCCTGTCTTTTCGCGTAAACCTCAAGAAAGGCAGCTCTTCTCCACACAGAAGAGAAACGAATTAAGAAGAAAAACAAGTCCATTAGGAATTCTCTGAAAATTAAACAATTATTTTGAATTGCTGCTCTGAAACCTACACCGCCAGCTACTGGTAAATGCTGCGTCCTCAGCTACGTTAACATAACAAAATAAAACACATGCTTTGCAATACTAAAACTTATTGACATGCTTCTGCAATACAGGTCACTGGCAATTAGAAGTGTTCAGAAGAGGCACTCAGCCAACATTCAGCGTAAGGTTCACGGAGGCTCTGGGAAGAAGCCACCCGTTCATTCCCGACAGCCGCAGCGCCGACGACCCCAGGCTCCGGGGACAGAAGGCAACCATGTCCTGGCTGAAGGGAGGAGGCCCCTGGCAGAGTGAGGCCATCGGAGAGGCAGCGCTCAACTCACCTACCGCCAAAAGGCCCGCCAAAGAAGCGGTTGGCTTTTGTCATGTTTTAATTGACCTTTATGCAAAGGTGTTCCTTACACTGGCTAACTTGGTGGCCCCTCCACTTTCTTCCTAGGTATTAAAATATTTGCGTTCTTTATTATGTAAAATGCAACATAATGGTCATTTTATCTGTTAGTTCGTTAATGGTAATAA